GTGGGGGGTTCTTTTTCCTAATTTGGGGATTATTTGTGTTTCTTTATTTTTTGATGGCTTGTTTTGTTTTGTTTGTATAATTAGGTTGCTGGTTTGGGCACGAAGCACTTTTGTTGAAGTAACCCTTAACCCTTCCGCCGAGATTCTCCACACAACAAAAACCATCATATAAAAAGCAAATGTCATTTTTTTATTTGTACAAATCGGAGTTAATGTTTTGTTGTTTTGTTTTGTTTTTGTCTTTTTTGTTTGGCATTATTATATACGGCAAAGTACGTCTGAGACAGTGAATTCCATCTCCCCTTCAGCTTGTAAGAACGTGCGTGATCGTCTCTCTCTCTCTCTCTCTCTCTCTCTCTCTCTCTCTCCCTCTCTCTCTCCCTCCCACTCTCACTTACCCACTTTCTGTTTCTCTCACGTTACTGAACAGAAAAAAGCAGCACAACACAATAAATGAATAAGGCAGAAAAAAACTGTCATTATTATAGGCCTACGTGAAGCTTCCTCCTCAACATCCACTTTTTTCTCACCATCCCGTCTTCTTCTTTTTCTCCTTTTTCTTCAAAATAATAATGTGTACCGGTTATGACGGAACTCAACGAGTCTGGTTTTACAGCAGTTGTTAGCTTGGAAAGGAGATAAAAGTAAAGGGGTGTGGTACAATGTGGTACAATGTGGTACACATTAATTGTTGTAATGATCACAAACGGTCCAACTCGCCGCAGAAAGCAACGCCTTTCCTTTTCCTAGAGTGGTATGCTTATCTGCCTATGGTCAGTATCATGCAGTTGGTTAAACTGTTAAACCTTCTTATGGCTTCGTTTAAAGTGACCTCCTTCAAGCGCTTTTCTTTTTTAGAAAAAAAAAATCCACAAACGCAACACTTATGGTCTGTTGGGCCGGTGTCGATGAATATGATTTGACTGTCTTGATTTTTTATGAGCTTCTCAAGCTGCCTCTGCTTTACAAGTTCTTTTTCATAAAAAACAATGCTGATTTGCTGCCGCTCCACATATCACGACTTCAAGCCACCATCATCGGTCAAGATAAAGGACTTCCCACTAACCCACATCACTGGAGCAATCTTTCAGTCTTCAGAGTGTCTTAATCGTTGTTTTTTGTGAGGTTCTTTTTTCTTTATACTTTATTTTTATTAATTTATTTATTTACTCTGCTAAGAAAATCGTGTAAAGAAAAAAATCAAACGAGGTAGTGCTTGATGAAGCCCACGTGGGACGCTCAATGTTAAAAACAATCAGGAAACGACAAATGCAGTTTTTGGGACACCTGAATAGACATAAGGGTCTTGAACATCTAGCTCTCACTGGCAAAATTGAGGGCAAGCGAGGCAGGGGTAGGTCCAGAACAAGGAACCTGAACAAATGGGTAACAGGGAAAGATCAGGGAAACATAGCTTTTTTGAGAGCATCCGAGCAAAGGAATGAATGGAATACCATGATCGCCGATGTCTGTCGCAGATCTGGCACTGGATGATGATGATGATTTAATTATTTATTTTTAAAAATAATTAATAAATAATTATTTTTTAAAATTTTTAATGTAAAAAAATTTATTTTTTTTTTTTTTTTTTTTTTGGGGGGGGGGGGTTAATTACCACTTCCAGCATTCCGCCTTTCACACAATAATTCTGAGTAGAAAATAGCTTTGCGCTTAGGCATTCAAGTCAAGTGTCCCGCTCATACTTCAGATGACAAAAGGGTGATGGCCAAGGATTGAGTCCACGGTGTTGGCCATTCGCCTCTCTGCCAGATCTTGTTGCAGATTATTCTGAGATTATCCTTAGCATGCCTATCACCGAGTCTCCACCTGCTTGAACTAGTTCTTCTGTGATGTTGTCTATTTCAGCTGATTTCCCTTTTTTTCAGTGATGAGACTGCTGTCACTATCTTTTCTCTTTTGTCATTGTCTTGTGACGGGGAGACATTGAGCACTCTTGGATCTCCTGTGGTTTTGTGGGTGTACAATTCAGAGAAATGTTCTGTCCACCGGTTCTGAACTTCTTGATCCGGCCCGTTA